AGAATGCATTCACAAAAAAATATAAATCACGCCCAAATTAAATATCAATTTGGTCAATTTTTGCAAGTGTTTGCACATCATGGGTAACCCACGGGTTAACCCGTGGGTTGACCCACAGGTCAACCTGTCCAAGTTTACCCGGGTGATCATAATTACAACCCGGATACCCGACCCACCCGGGTATACCCGGGTTGACCCAACCCGGGTTGAAACACTAAGTGCAACAAACAAGAAATAGTTTAGTGAATAAACAATATCTGGCATGCTCAAAATATGTATAGATATGAACATTCACTTTTAGTATTAAATTCTTTCAAAGGTCATATTACCGATCTTGTTAAAAAAAATTTTAGAGAAAATATGACTAATATTGCAGTAATACCTGATGGTTTAACAAGTAAACTTCAACCATTAGATATTATGATAAATCATTTCTTTAAAGCAAAACTTTGTAATTTATATCTTGAATGAATAGCTAATAAAATACATAAATTTACACCTGCTGGAAGAATTAAACGACCATCTTACTCTTTGATGGCAATGTGGGTAAGAAATGCATGGGATGGTGTTGATATTAATTTAATTAAAAATTTGTTTAGCTGTTGTGGAATTTCTAGTAGTCAAGATTTAATATGGATCAGCAATATGAAATAGAAAATGATGATTATATTGAATTAGCAGATAATATTAAATTAATAAATCTTACTAATGAAGAAACTGCTTGGGTTGAAATGGAAGATATCGATAATATCTATAGTGAAGAAACTATGATTGAAAATGATTGGGTATTAGTTTCATAAATTTACGATAGTTTTTTTTTATTTTATAGTTAGTTCTATATTTTTTGTTAGAGTTTTGTTATAAAAGCTTTATGTATAAGTGAAATGAAGTGAATTTTTTACAAACGTACGTATGTACATACAACACTTATAATAATGTACGTATTATTAACCAATTATAGAATTTAATAAATGGCTATATCTGGGTATTTTAGATAGATCTTTACTATAAATAGTAAGAGGTATTACATATAGGGGGATACTTAAATCAGTGCTATATGGTATATCTTTAGTATAAAGCTATGCCTTAGTAATATATCTTCTAACTAATACCCAACTTCAAATATCTCTTTAACTGAGACTCTAATCCAAATCATGTGAAGTAGCACCAAATCTGCAAGTAAACAAGACACGTGGTTGCAATCTACTAAGTTCATCTGAATTGGGTTGTAAATAATACTAATTTTTTTGAATTTGTCAATCAACTCTTTTTAATAATCACTTGAACCAATTTTTCCAAACAAAGAAAAACAAAATGTCTGTTGGAGAGATAAGTAGCTATAGTAATAGTTTGTATTAAGAGGTTAACTAGCTGTAAAAACTTTTCACTATATTTAGCATGTAAGCTAGAAGCGCAGTTAAGAGGAAAAAGCAGATGGCACTTTTGGCAAGCTTTATAGATTCTGGTAAACAAAAAGAAGCTTCATTGATAAAGCTCTATAAACTATAGTTTTAAAAAAACTTTAGTTAGGGTTCCGTTGTTTGATCTGGGTTTGATTTGAGTTTGATCAAACCCCAAACTCAAACTATAAATTTTATAAAAGTTTGAAATCAAACCAAACTCAAATAAAAAAATATCAAACTCAAACCAA